GCCCGGGCCCGCCCCGCCGCCGCTCGCGGCGCTGCCGCCGCCGCCGCCACCGCCTCCGCCGCCAGGGACGGAGTGGTGGAAGAGCATCCGCACGTTCCTTGGGACCTGCGCTGACGTGGACAGCTTGGTGGCGCGGGCTGTGGCCTCCCTGTGCGCCTCCATTAGGCGGCGGACCAACGGCAGGCTGAGCTCCGGGCTGTCCAGCTTGGCGGTCTGCGAACAGGCGTTGGAGTGTGTGTGTGTTTATGTGTGTGTGTGTGTGTGTGTGTGTGTGTGTGTGCGGCGTGCGTGCGTGTAGGTTGTGTTTGTTGTGTGTGTTGTGTGTGTGTGTGTGTGTGTGTGTGGGTGTGTGTGTGTGTGTGTGTCGATGTGTGCGTTGCATGAACAGAGCGGCGCCCGGCTGGGGCTGGACAAAGCAGGACGCGCGACGGCCCCTGCGAGGCGCCACCTTGAAACCCAGCGCCGCCGTTTGTGGGCCCCAATTCTGGCGACTGCCACAGGCTCGCCAACAAGCAGCGGCGGCGCGCAAGCAGGACTGGGCGATAGCGGGCGGCGGGCGGCTCCCACCTCCTGCCGGAATGCGGCGTCAAGCCATGCAAGCTCTGGCGCTGGGTAGGCGGCCAGGAATGTTGGCCAGAGGCCCTCGCTGATGGCGGTCACGTCCACCTGGCGGTGCCGATTGGCGGCGCATGGGGTTGGTCAAGGTGTTCGCGGGCAAGTGGAGCAGCAGAATGATCTGAGTCCCCGGTGAATCACTGCAGCCCCCAATCAGACCAGGCCGCCCAGCCCTCCCCCCGCATTCACTGAACATCTCAGTGCCATGGGACGCGTCGGGTTCTGAGCCAGCCTGCGGCAATAGGCATAGCCTGCGTCTCCGCATGGCCCCAAAACGCCTCAGCCCCGCACCTGAACGCCCCTCAGCGCACGCTCGCAGTTTGACGCAAACTTGACTGTTCTGGCGTAAGTGTCCGCAAGCAGCCGCAGCCTGGCCTGGTGGGCGGCGGCGTCGGGGGGCTCGAGGAGGCCGCGGCTTCCCAGCAGCTTCTCGAGGGCCATCTGCACCTCCTGCTCAAACAGGCGCTGGATGAACATGTCCAGGG